CTTTTCTTTCAGGGTCCACAATGAACTCTATTTTTAACTGGACCATCGTTGGATGAAGCATTTTTTAAAGGCATTTTATTGGTGTTCTATCTGACTTAATTTGTTTCTCGTGATCTGATTTGTTCTTGGCGCCATGTCTTCTTTCTTTAAGTTCTTTGGAAAGAAAACCAAGAAAGACGATGCCGACATCAAGATTGACCCAAACGTTGACCCTGAACTTGAAAAACGACGCCTGAGGCACTCACTGTCCATCTCCCGCTCCGGGAGGTTCAAGCAGAAGAAGCGAGAGAGGAGCCAGATCTCTGACAAGCCTGAGATATTTTTCGATCTAGACGACGCGCCGAGCTCAGAGGCGCAGAACGAGAACAAGCCCGCTGCTGCCGGCGGCCACTCCACCTCCCAGCCCGGCAGGGGCAACCATTCCGGGGCTGCGACCAGGTCCCCGAAAGCGTGTCACGACGTTAACCCGCCGCTGACCTCGACGGGTGGACTTAGGGTGGGTCAGTCTGTCGTCACGTGACCAGAGTCATAGGCAGACATGACCCACCGAACGCTGTCTCATACGAACATGTAAAAAGCATAATGCGATTCCTGGAGGTTTTCCCTCCAGTTCTCCTCTGTATTCCTAAAATACTACATTGGATCTAAGTTTGTTAACCAGCTTGTATGGACAGTAAACACGCTATGGAATCGTTGTACTATGCTGTTTATTTTTATTGATACATATATTCCATAGGTCATGAAAACAACAAAAATGTTGCTCTTTTAGTGCTTTCACGTGCTTTCATCTTATTCCAGACTCTTTTCATGTCATGTGATGAACATTCTTTGATTTTCACACCCATTGCAAATTTCTGCTAGGACCGTGAACATGTATAAACAATTGTTCTGCTTGTAGACATGTGAACATGTATAAACAATTGTTCTGCTTGTAGACATGTGAACATGTATAAATATAACTTTGCTGGGACCGTGTACATGTATAAATATATGTTTGATGGAACCGAGAATATGTATAAACTATTGAATGCTGAGACCGTGAACATGTATAAATAGCTATTTGCTGGGACCTCGAACATGTATAAACTACATTTCAATAATACAGATCTAGACTAACAGTTGTGACATCGTAATGCAGGAGCCGATCTTTTAAGCAACAAACGTTGTCCAGGATTTGCTGTTGTGCTGATGTTTGATTTAACACAAACATTGACACATTAAATGAGTTACTTTTCTTGAAGAATTAACTTCCAATCATTTCACCCAACTCATCAACGACTGATCCTAATTGTGTACCAAGTATCAACGTGGAACTGTGACCAGAATGTTTTCCATTTTATTACTACACATACAGACCACTTGGTTTATTTGAAGAGATTTTTGTAGTGTGGAGAACTTTATTAGTAATCGAACAGGAATTAATACGTTTTAAGAATTTGAAAAAAAAAAAAGATATTAAATTCCCAAAACTTCATTTTTAAATAATTTTGTTGAAACGATTTCAATGCATCGTTTGCAGTGCTCTTACGACGCAACGGAGATGACTGTCAATCAAAGATCAGTTCAGCAAAGTTAGACCTTAGTTTTTAACAAATGTGCACATGAAAAGTGTTTAGAATCAGACCAATTACATTGTTTCTTTTATAAATGCCCTCCCCTCTTTACGCCAAAGAATGTATTGGAGCTCGAGATACGAGTGTATGTATTCATTCCCCCCCCCCTTTTTTTTTGGCTAATCTCCACCCTCGCCCCACCTCCATATCCTAAGTTCGCGTTTTCTATTTTAGGATACTTAGCAATTATTTTACAAAATTTACACACCGTCACAATTTTTTTTTTCAAAAGATTTCTTTCAAACTGAGGAAAAAAGAAAAATAAGGAGAGGAGGGGGCTACAGTCTATTCACATGTCATAACGTGCGGTAATAGCAGACGACGTAGAAGATTCCGAAACGCACTTCACATTGTACTACCATAGCTTACGATTTGATGTTTTTTATAAAATGTATTGAAACTAGAATCTAGTTGCTTGAAAGCCTAGTCTGCAAAGGGGAGGGGAGTCTGTGTGTTCTAAACAGGAAGTGAGGAACTGTTTCAAATAAAAAAAAAAAAAACATCTGCTGCTTTTCATTTTTCCAAATAAATAAACAATACACTTAGTAACTAACTGGCATAGTGCAAAGGAGGCTGTCCGCTTCTTATAGTATATTTTGGTAGAATTTTTAAGATCAGCGATGCCTAAACTGCAGCCCACGAGTCCCTCTATGGCCCTTCAAAACTCCTGCTCATATTGTATAATGAAACCTCTGACTTTTTTTTCAATTTTATTCAACATTTTCTTTTCGCTGATGTGGCCAGTGACAGTGTTAAAAAGTTTGCCCCATAGCCAAAAAAAAAAAAAAAAAAAGCACTACTGACATGTGAATTGCGTTTGTAGTGATTGATTTGACATATAAGACTCATCTTTATTTAGGTATGGGTAAAGATTCCGGACTAAAACATGTTTTAATATAACTCCACTTTTTAAAAGGGAGTGATGGTATCCCAGTGGAAGTAGTGAAAGTCAACGAATCACTCCTGCTCCCTGAACTCTATATTCTCCTCTGCCGCTGTTGGGAAACAGGTCATGTCCCACAGGACATGCGTGACGCAACTATAGTCACAATATACAAGAACAAAGGGGATCTGAGTGACTGCAACAATTACAGGGGTATTTCTCTCCTCAGTCTAGTGGGCAAGATCTTTGCTAGAGTGGCACTATCCAGGCTGCAAGTGATGGCTTCTAGAGTCTACCCAGAGTCTCAGTGTGGATTCAGGAGTGGTAGATCCGCTATAGACATGATATCTTCTCTACGACTACTGCAGGAGAAATTCAGAGAGAGAGACAGACCCCTTTACATCGTGTTTGTTGATTTGACTAAAGCTTTTGACATGGTCAGCAAAAGTGGCCTTTTCAAACTCCTGAGGAAAATAAGTTGCCCTCCCAAACTACTGCAGTTCATTGAGTGTTTTCACGAGGAAACTAAATGCACTGTCAAATTCAATGAAGCCCAATTAGCACCTTTTGAGGTTTGCAGTGGTGTCAAGCAGGGAACTGTGCTCGCACCTACTCTGTTTGGCATATTCTTCTCCTGTCTACTGCATCATCCGTACAACAACATAAACGAAGGTGTGTTTCTCCATACAAGATCCTCTGGAAAACTATTTAATGTATCAAGGTTGCGGGGAAAAACCAAGGTTTGGAAGCTACTCGTCAGAGAACTCCAGTATGCTGATGATGCAGCTATTGTGGCTGATTCTGATATTCAGCTACAGTGCCTGGTTGACAAACTATCTGATGCTTGCCAGAAGTTTGGCTTAAACATCAGTCAAAGCAAGACTAAGATACTTGTCCAAAACACAAACACTGCACCTCAAGTAAGCATTAATGGCCAACCACTAGAAACTGTTGTTCACTTTTGTTACCTTGGCTCCATCATATCCAACAACATTCTACTGGATAAAGACATAAACAACTGGATAGCCAAGGCAATGGCCACCATGTCACGGCTGCAGAAAAGAGTCTGGGACAATATATTGCTGACTAGCAGTACTAAAGCCCTAGTCTACCGGACCTGTGTGTTGAGCACCTTGCTGTACGGAAATGAAACATGGTCAACCTACTCATGGCAGGAAAAAAAGCTGAATGTTTTCCACCTCCGATGCCTAAGGCGGATCTTTAAAATAAGGTGGCAAGATAAGATAACCAATGAGGAAGTGCTACAAAGAGCAGGGTGCCAGGACATCCGCTCTGTTATCAGCAGCAGACGCCTTGACTGGTTTGGCCACGTTCGTAGAATGCCAGTAGGTCGACTTCCACAGGACATTCTATATGGCGATCTAATAGAAGGCAGGAGAGCCGCTGGTCGCCCACTTTTACGTTATACGGATGTATGCAAACGCGACATGAAGCTCTTCAAAATCGACACTGGCAACTGGGAAGAGGTGGCACTGGACAGATCCTCATGGAGAGAGAGCATAAAGGAAGGGTCAAAGATTGCAGATGTCATACACAACAGAAGCAGAAAGAAGGGTGAAAATGCAACGGCGCCTGGTGATTATATATGCCCAACCTGCGATCGCAGCTGTGTATCAAGGGTTGGCCTCTTTAGTCACACGAGAAGTTGCAAAGGGAAAAGATCGTCTCTCGAGACGTAAAATGCAACAGAATGATTCCGGACTAAAACATGTTTTAATATAACTCCACTTTTTAAAAGGGAACGCTTCTTCCTGTAAAACACACAGTACTTTGTGATGTGTTTGTGAACACGGAGATAATTTCTTCCTAATTAGTTAATTTAATTAGAAATAATACAGTTTAAACCATAAGATGTAGTTGTGATTTTAAACATTTTTTACACTATTTTTTTTTTATTCAGGAGCATTGTTTAAAGTTAAGTTGCTTCCTTTTAATGTATGCTAGGAGTTATTTTTCTTGTTAAGTTGCTGGATACATAGTATAGCCTACTACATATGTTAAAGCTAGATCCCTTTCCAAATCAAACATAACTTAATGGACGCCACGCCCCCCCCCCCCCCCGGATGACTACCTACTTCACTGTCTTATCCTTTAAACATAACTGCCTAGTTGGCGCTCTGGAACGTGCAATGGTTTCTTAACTCTTACTCTCCTAACTGACGATACCAGCGTTGATTCCACGAGAATTTGGTAAATAATTACGGAGAGAAAGAGTTAAACCCTCGGTGCTGCTTTGGTTTCTTTTCAAACTGTAGCAGTAATTAGATCTAATTAAATTCACATGTAGCACTGATATTTTTGTCCTGACTCTGACTGGAGCCCGTGTCCCCAACTAAAGTCATTGTCTTTGAGGTAAAAGGGGGGGGGGGGGAAGGATTTTTTGGATGAACTTTGGACTAGAGACAAAATGTAGTTTCTCTGTTTGTTGACATTCACTTGACAAAAAAGGACGAACACATTCAGTGCTAGTGTGTGTGTGGGGGGGGGGGGGGGAAGCGAATAGAAAGGAGGGGAGGGGAGTTGATAAAGGGTTCAAAAGGAAAAAAAAAATGTTTTAGTGGCTTTGATTAAACCACGCTATTCAAAGGTGACACACTTCCTGATTCTAGAGCCAACAGGTGTAGTCTGACTCTGACCTGAATCTTTAGTTTGTTCTTGCCAGCAACTTTCGAAAGAAGAAATCATTTGTTTACCTCCTTCTGTTTTAAAAATGTCCCTTTATTTAGATGTTAGATGGAATGCTATTGGTTTACGGGGGGGGGGGGGGGGGGGAGAGTCTTTAACATTCATTTTTTCCCCACATTATCGTATTTAAGAAATGATTTTTGAAAAATAAAATACTCAGCACACAAAGCATCCATACCTTGTAGGAATCTCTCGAATTACAAGACTTTCAAAAAGCGATCAGACGATTACGACTCTTTCTCTTCCGGTTTAATGTTGTTTTTTTCTTAGGAGGGCCTGTAGTTTCAGTAGTCAGCAAAGTTTGAAATGTATTTTAAAAAAAGGTTTTACCATGTTCAAGATGTCTCCCCTTCCCCCAAGTGGAAGATATAAATATAAATTGTTTCAATTTTATTTGCTCCCGGTGGATCTTGATTTTCTAGCCTAGTGATTATGTTATTTTTTTAATTAGTTCTTTGCGTGATCCGTTTTCAGAACTAGATAGTAGATGTCGGTCTGTGATCAAAGTTACTTCACTGACCTGGAGAGTGTTGAAAACAAATGGGGATCTTTAAAACATAAATGTTTGTTTTGTATGCAAGTGTGCTTCATTATTTTTATAGTCACAATGGTGGATGCGTTATTAAAACATAGATGTATTTTTTAAAGGTCGTTAATCATATGATATGACTGTATGATCCCGTATAAATGATCTACATAGTCATATAATTTATAGACTAGATCGAGATTCTAAAAATAGTCTAAATCTAGAATATATAGATCTAGATCTTTTTTTTTAATTAGTGTGAAATGTAAGCAATGCAAATGGACTACATTCAATATCCACGTTGACCAATCATACGCTGTATTATTTGATTTAGAATCTAAATAGTTTTCTTTTCACTCGCCAATAAGGTTTGTAGATCTATGACGTCTATGTATTCTACTATTGTATTTTTTATTTTTTTTTGTGTTTATCTATATTGTCATGGTTACTCTTTTGGTATCCCAATGTGGCCAGGTTTTTATATCAACTTCATGCCAGCTAAAATATGGTTGATGTTATTTAATGTTATCAGATCTCAAACATTCCAATAAGACAGAATAAGGTCTAGACATAGACGCTGTCTTTTGTTGTGTGAAAATAATAAGATGTCACAGACCAAACGCAACTTTCAATTAAATAGACAATGCTCTGGATACAAAAAAATACATGCACGAAATCAAGAATATATTAACAACCCCTTTAAAAAAAAACATGTTGATATACTTCTGGCCTTTTCCTTGTGTGTGCTCTCTCTGCTTTGTAGGCCTATAGTTAAGTAGCGTCTAGGATCCATTCTAACCACTGCCAAATACACACAGAACAACACAACAGATCTATAAGAAGCAATACAAAACTTCCACCTACATCTAAAAACTTCATGTGATTGTCTTGACTTCTTAACAGAACACGTTTAATTTGTATTGCTGCCAATGTCAATATCAACATTTAGTATATAAAGATGTATATATATATTTTCATTTACTTTAATTAGTCCAAATGTAATCAGTGCTAAATATACAGATCCATGTCACGATGTATATAACACTACTAGTAGAATACTTCCTGTTTAGTGTGTGTGTGTGATTGTGGGGTGGCTAACAAGGGAAACAATGCTAGACATTGTAGGCCTATGTGTTTGTCTGTATGTGGAGTGCCTGAGGATAAGATTTTGGAAGGGGGAGGGGGAATTGTTCAAAGAAATGAAATTTGCTTGTACATATTTGTTTTAGTGACGTGACCACAGAGCAGAAGAATGGTTGGTTGATCATGCTAATTAATTTTGGTCTTTTAACAAGATTTATTGTGTAAATAGATCTTTATATCAGACAATAAAAAATGTGAATTTCAAAGACTATTGTTATGATTTGATCTATTCCTACACTTATTTTCATTTTAAAAGCATTTTTATTACATTTCAGCTTGCGAATTCTTCATCGGTTCTAAAAGCAATGTAATGTAAAAAATGTAAGATGATTTAAATCAACATTAATTATTTCGATCTAGAATTTTTGAAACATCTCAATTGAAACAAACAGGATGGCTTTGTTTCATATATTTGCGTGAATATACGAGAAATGATTTTGCATTATTTATAAACTTTGAAAACTAAAGATTACTTTTCTAAGATTTATTGGGGCGACTCCCCTTAGCGCTTAAAAAAGAGTTTACGTACATATATATAGGTCTGTGAATCGATCAGTCGCGGATAAGAATTTATATTTGGTTTCCAGTCTAGTATACTTTATAAGTCTATGACCCTAACGTATTTCAATAGATGTTCAAGTACATTTTGCGCACCGTCTTCAAAATCTGGATCTAGATCTATAGTCCATCGCTAAAGTAGAATGATAGATGGGTGGAATCTCCTATACTGTAAATCTAGATCCAGTATTTTAGTCTAAGACTACTTTTTATTTATGTCTGGATCTGTATCACCTAACTAGAATTGTTTATACCCCTGTCAGTGGCATAGCTAGGATGGGGGGAGGGGAAGGAGAATTTGAAAATCCTCCCGTGCCCCCATTTGAGAGGGGCCCCCAAATAAGTGTTTGTTTTTTTACATTAAATATTACGCAAAATGCAGGGGCCCCCAAAATGATGGAAAATTCCTAACTACGCCCCTGTCCCCTGTACATTTATAAATCCGCTTAACCAGGAATTTTTTTTTCGTAAAAGGTGCTGGGGGGGGGGGGGTAAAAATGTTCCTCTTTTAATTATCCATTAGTTAATGAGATCAAAGTAATTGCTCTTACAAAACATCATCTGCTTCATTAAGAAGGAATTGTCTTTTTTAGCCTAAATTAAAAAAAATGTTAATTGCATATTTAGTGTGCCAGTACTACAAATACCGAGTGGAAATAGTGTGACAACAAAACGGAATTGAGAAGCAATAAATCGGACGCAGTTTTTCACAGGCCAGAAAGCAAACAAGGTTTCTCTTAGATTACAAGAAATAAGAAACTGAAGCCAAATGATAATTCAGAAAACTGACATAATAGTGACTTCACACTCTTCTCAAATTGTGTATACTGTTTTGCAATCTTTCTTGAAAATAGAACGCAAGGTTATATGGGGGGGGGGGGGACGGTCTTGTTTCTGTTGTCCTCGTTTTGGCCTCCTTGTCTTCAGGGGAACGTGCTTCCTCTTGTCTTAGCTTAAGAGGACGCGTGTCCGTTTGGCAAAGGATTTCTTTGTAAGTGACACTCAGCATTTAACTCTTAGTCACATTCTACACTTATAGATAGATGCCTTTCCAGGTCTCGCGTGAGTAGATCGCCGTTGAGACCAAAAGTTTTACAGAAATCTAAATCATTAGCAAAGATAAGCAGTCTGTGTTAATAGGCACCTGCTTTTTCTATCGCTTGTAATGACGCTGCATCGTCATGCTGTTTGTGTCCTGATGTTTTTACATTTAGGCTTCTGTTGCTGGAAATGTAACAGTGACGTTTCGTAAAGCCGTTAACTCTTTTAATTCTTAGACATTTTTCTACTGATGACGACGTTTATATTATGAAGGATTGGCATAAATGGTGTTTCAGGTTTACAGAATTGGACCTATTGAATTGAGCACTTCAGTATCCATTTTCTAATCTTATATGATGATAGCACAAAGTCATTTTGATTTAGTACCGATATTCAACACGCAGGGCCTGCCTTAAGCATATGCAAACTAGGCAGCCGCCTAGGACCTCCGATTGGTGGAGAACTCGCACAGGGCTCAAAGAAAAAAAAATTTAGAGAAAAAATGCGAACTATGAATCAAATCTCAAATAGAACCCTATAACTCAAGTCAACAAGCCTATTTCTTATTCTAATACGATTCAATGTTAATTTACGAATGTTTAATCTATTTGTTAGACTACAGATGTTTCTTCCTTTGGGTGAAATGTCAAAACGTTATTTCTAGTCTGGTGATCATGAATCGTCCATGAAGCACACTAGTGCTATCGTCGCTTGGATCGAGCTGAAATATCGGTTGATGATCTATGATAATGTCTGAATATTCTCCCCATGAACTCCCTGGCTGTAGCACACATGTCTATATACTGAACCGAACGGTTAGATATTCAACCAAAACCAATCTCCAAAACCAATCTACCTGTAATTAATTCCTCCAACACACACACACAATGACAGCCCTCACCCCCCCCCCCCCCCCCCAAAAAAAAAGAGTGCATACTAAATAGCTGACAATAGGAACAATAAAACAAAACAGAGACATTTTATTGATATATAAAATAGTTTTGTTCATTTTATTTTCAACCTAAATGAGACAAAAAAATGTGAGGGCTACAGTCATTGATAAGAAAAAAAATCAAAGACACTAAAACACTGATCTACATATAAACAATCAAAGCTTTATAAATGAAATACACTTCACCATGATGAACGTAGGCATACATTTGGTCATTTAGAACCGTGTGCAAAACTTAGAAAGAGTCAACAGAAGCTGAATTCTATTGTAATGTGTTAACCAAGAGTCTTTTTTGTTTTAAAGTTGAAATACCCAGAAATAACAATGTTTTGATAATCTGATCTAAAACTGTACAGAGTATAAATAAGATGCACTTGATTGTAATTAGTGTGATAACCCTGTATGCTAATGTGTGTGTTACTCGCCTTCTATTTATTTAGTTCAGTGATGCCCAAAATACGGCCCCGCGGGCCAGATCCGGCCCGTCGAAATGTTGGCACAGAGTAGCACCCCCCCCCCCCTCCCTTTTCCAAAAAAAAAAAATGTTGACTTATTTATCTTTACCTACCTTTCTTTAATTGATTGGTACCATGACCTTTAACATTTGTGTGTTTATGAAATGAGAATCTACCAGAAAAAGAAAACGGATCTTAACTTTTTTTTTTTTTTGTGGAGCTTGATAATAGGCCAACATAATTGATTTGTAAAGAAAGTGTGGCTATTTAAAAATAAAGAACAACATATACACGTCATTATGAAACAAACATGACGACATTCTTGGTTTAAGCCGCGAATAAAAGATTGTGTTAAACTACGCCCACAGATTGGAGGATCGATAGGAATATTTATGAAAAAGCGACAAGAAAATGAGTCGGTGGTAAAGCTTGCTACAATGTTGCTCTTATTTGAAGTACAGAAATTAAGACATTTTCTTGCGCTTGAAAAAAAAAGCGTAAGTATCGGTTCTAAATCCATGAGTTTCTAATCAAATAGTTTCATATTCATATTGATTTAATTATTTTCATTTTTACCTTTTCCTTCATGTGGCCCGCGACACGAGTGTCAGAAATTAAAATGGCCTGCAGGTCGAATTAGGTTGGGCATCACTGATTTAGTTGAATAATTAAACCTGGCATATACTGTTAAATATGGAACATAAAATGTCTTACAAAAAAAATGGCATATATTAATAACTTTACACTGCCATTATAACATAAAATTAAATAAAGAGTGTTCCTTGCCATTTAAAAAATAAAAAAAAAAAACAATGGAATTGAGAAAGTTCCTAAGTCTAGCAAATGCTTTCTAATCTCAAATAACATTTGGCAGACAGTTTTCTTGCTAGCAACAAGAATCTCAAGTCATGTGACTACGTCATAGACTTCAATCAATGACAAGAGTTGTGTACCATGTTAGTCTTTTCAGTGATGTTCGACGCTAGCTATAGCCATAATATAAAAGTCTTGTTCCAATACAAAGGATTCAAATGAAACTTAGTTGTGGTAGAAGAGAAACTTTGTTGTTGTTTTTGTTTTTTTTATATACAAGGGAGATAAACCTGTGAGTTCTGGACATCTTCGCACAGATTTATTGTGTGGCTGAGCAGAAGACAAAATTAAAAAAAAAAAAATGACAGTGAGACTAGAAAAGTTTTTAAAATGTTCACTGTAGACATAATAATTGAACAGTATTCATTTTAGAACATACCCATTATATTGATTGAATTACAAGTTTGTAGGTTAGATGCTACTAAAAAGATCCAGAACGTAGGCCTACTCTGTGGTACTAAGTACAAACAAGCATTCCATATACAGTAGAATTCAGTTCATCAGATCACAATGAGACCCACCAGCAGATCATAATACTACATCTAACTGTATGATGGGATTTATTTTGGTACAATAAAATTTTGTCCAAATAAGCTGCTGGTCTGTATAACTTGATTGGTCTGTACAAATTAGTTACATAATCAGTCTATACCTTCATCAATATATTCCTATCTTTTGGCCTGACACAGAACTAAGGGATAGCTACTTGATAGACTAAGCCACACCAAAACATCCTAGAATTCTATAAAGTATTCATACAAAATATATTTGTAAAAAGTGAAAAAGAAGTGAGTTGATAAGAACTTTTCTTATATTTTGAACTCCAAGGAGTGACTGTCAATATGGCAATGAATCAACAGTATTAAGTGAGTGAACCAAGACATGAATGACATTGACTGAATCAGTAGACAAAATAGTTTTCTCTCTTTGACATTGTACTGTCAACAGTGTATCCTGATGCAACAAGTATGTATCAACCTAAGGCAAACATTGATCCAACATGAAAATATGGAGCTTCGTTGAATGTACAATGTACAAAAAAAATTTGCAGTCTGTTAATTTACTTTTTCATAACATGCATAAAAGGAATATTTTTATTTACGCTATGCAAAAAGGCTTACACCTGTTGAAATACCAGGTCCAATGGTTCAAGAATTGTAAAAAAAAAAAAAAAAAAAAAAAAAAAAAAAAAAAAATGCAGAGGGTATAGAATTTTGCATTTAAGAGACTGGAGATTTGGACCTATTAGTCAGTATCAACATTAGTCCTAAAGTTGACTCAAAACAGCAGTTGGTGAGTACCTTAGTAGACATAGTGGTAAGTGGTTCTTAACCTACCATCAACAGTCCACCATTATATTTGGGTCAATGAATACAAATATTGAATTCCTAACACTGAAAATTTAGTGAATGTCATAAATTCTAGCATCCTTGCTACAAAACAAAATCCTCCTAACATAAAGTTGCTATGTACATTGATGATTCACTGATGTATAGAAACATAAAGGTCGGTGCAACAGAAGAGAACAAAATGACCTGCATCAAAAGTCACCTGAACTTTTCAAAATGAACATATTTCGTGTTCACAAAAATTGTAGGACTTACAAAAAACAAGAGGATAATGAGACTTATGAAGCAGAAACACTATGTAGTAAAATAGCAAGGAGTTGAACCATCCAATAGAAGATTGTAGAACTATTCATGTGAAATGTTCAAAGGAAAAGTTCATTAATTACTATTCTTATAGGTAATTCAATGCCTATATGGCAACAAATAATTCTAACTTCTATTTATTTTTCTTGTATCAATTAAATGTCTGTTGCATACATGTACACACAAAAATTTCTTTATTAAAAAAAAAAGTCCCCCTAAATCCTATTGATATGAAAAAAAATATATTTATATAAGAAACTTAAAAATACAATTCCTCTGCTTGGGATCATTTATTCTAAATATCTTTATAATTATTCATATCTATTTAAAAACTGACAACACAGTAATCACAATGAATCTATTTTATTTGTAACCAGAGCACATAATGACAAAACCATTCTACATGTTGTTTTTTTACAGCTACTAATCAATACTATAGAGTCTCTTTTCTACAAATACTTAGAACCATAATTCTTTTTATAATAGCATCTCCTTGAGAGTACAATGAGTTCATGTTCCCTTAGAGCCTGAGTTGTTGCTACAAGAAGTGAGTTAAATGTACACATATTATTTAGTCAATGAAAAGCCACTGACTAACCTTCTACTATTCTCCCTCTACCAACCAATGGTACTTACTCTATTCATTATATCAATTTTATCCTCTTCACTCCTGACACTTTGTTTTACCCATTAGACAAGATCAACTTAAGCTCATACAAGTACATTGGGTTGTGTGAATGCTGATAGCTTACATGCATTACCATGTCTTAGACTTTATGGAATGTACCATTTTGTTATGTAGACTTGTATGTATGTGATACTGGAGCATCAAGGTATATATATTAATTTAACTATCTATAGCATAATGTTTTCAAGCCTCTTCCAGCCACACTTCAGACCATAAGTTCACTCTATGGTACAGTAAACATTTTGTTCACCTTGCATTGACAACATTTTAAATATGATCAAAATAAATTTAACAGATTTTTGACTATCAGGCAGTTAACTGAAAAAATGATTATTATATATGTATATTGAATAAAATTGAGCGCTGGCCAGCAGTCGCAAAAACTTTGATGTGGCTTGCTAACCAAAATTTGTCCCTATCACTAAAAGGAGAAAAACTTGACAGGATGTATCAGTCAGTTATTGCTAGGCTAGTTATGGCTAAAAAAAAACAAAGCTGAAAGGCTAAGAATGTGGGAGGTTGGTAATAAACAGAGATAGAGACATTTCGACTTGAAAAGTATGTCAAGTGGTCCCTTTAGTGACTCAGCACATAGTAAATCCTACTCTCCACATGTACAGAGGAACTTACAAAACTATTTTTGTTAGGTTACAGACTTCTTGTTTCAATCAAATGTAACATACACATTTTTTTAACTAAAAAAAAAAACAACTTACAATAAAAGAATTAAAAAGTTGAACAAAAATCAAAGTGTGATCAATATAGCCTGTCCACTAAAACATTGTTAGTGCCTTCTATCTACAGCTAGACCAAATAACAACAAAAATCAAAGTGTGATCAATATAGCCTGTCCACTAAAACATTGTTAGTGCCTTCTATCTACAGCTAGACCAAATAACAACAAAAATCAAAGTGTGACAACATAAAAGGGCAGAGTACAAAGTAGTTGCTTGATGAACATAACATCATGCTCCAAACATCAATGCAGCACTACAGGAAGTGATAGGCTATATGAGCTTCTACAGTGAAGACAAACAGAAAGGACTAACACAAGCCAACACAAACATGGCATAGAAAGTCAATGGCTCAAGTGGAAATATTTTTTCCTTAAATATATCAATAACACAAAAAAAGAGTTAACCAAGCCAAGTAATTTGTTGACTGAAATTCCTCTTCTGTAACAATGTTTTTGTTTGTGTAATATCAAAAGTTTTATTATATCTACTTTGTTAATTAGCTTAATGAATAAAGTCATTGTAGAATAAGAATGAGAACATGCATGATTTCTTTTGTACTCAAGCTTAAGAATAATTACTTATTGATTACCGGTACCTTAACAACAAAAAGAAATTACAAAAATTTTTTTTTTTTTAAATGTCCTGGTCTATATGACATTTGATGCCTATCTTAAAAAAAAAAAAAAAAAAACAGAAATGACAACACAAATAGTCTTGTTAAAACTAAAGTAAATAATTTGAAATACATTCAACTAATAGATAAACATCAATCTAATATCAGCAAATGCCTTTGTGTTCCTGCTACTGGACGGAGCATCTATTTCTTAATACCTAAAAAAATAAAATATGTTGAAATCAAAAAACAAAAATTTTAGCATAATGCTTAAAAATGTAGAACAATCAGACTATGTAATGCTGATGATATTTACCAACAAAAAAAAAATTTAAAAAGAAAAGAATCAATATATTAAAAAAAACAACAAGAAAATGATAAATTACATGATATACAAAGATCACTTGTAAATGTTTTATGACTAATCAAAGATGAATAATTATACAGGACCACTTAGTTACAGTTCCAAACAAAAATATCTGGTAACTACAACAGGCATTCACTTCACCACTTTCTGTCAAATTATTGGTTAATATTAATTTGATTCATAACAATTTCATTCTTTGTAAAATCTACAAACTCATCTTTTTAAAGTACACATTTTCAATATTGGTCCAGCTACTGATTAGAAAATACAGTTAACTAGTTTATGACTAGGCCTATAATATACAGGGTAAGATAAATTTAGACATCAACATGAATTAAGTAGATGAAGGATTAATGATGTTTTGATAGCCACAGAAACAACATTGATAAACTATGTACTGAGATTTGTTAGACAACATAACCCCCAACTAAACTGAACCAGGAAACAGATGATTTTAACAGATCGTGGCAACAACAAATTGTAGAGTAGATAAAATAAAAAGTGGTTAGAGTGAAATGTGGTCATAGAAATATATCAAAAGTGGCACTATTGGCAACTACTGAAATACACATGTGTAAAAAATCATTTCTTTAAAGTTCTTCAGTTTAATGTGTTTACAGTAGTGTACATTAAAAACATGATTCATGATTTGAACAAAGTAACAGTGACTTAATTGTACAATAAAGTTATCGTCAAAATTTAAATTTTAACTCATGATTCATGATTTAAACCAGTAGCATAGCTAGGGATTTGGGGCTGAGGAGGGGCGCTGATTGGCCTCTTTAGGGGTCCCTGCAATTTTGACATTCAGTATCAGGACATGAGATAGTGTACTTCATAAATATATACATGCACCAGGGTCATTAACTTATATAGCAACACGAATAGCAGGATTACATGGCAGTGGCGTAATATTAAATGTAAACAAATTTACTGACACTCCTTTGGTGGCCCCCCATCATGTAGGGGCCTAGGGGGAAATTCGACTTTGCACTCTCTCCCAATTCCCTAGATATGCCACTGTTTTGAACTAAGTAACACTAGGTTAATTGTACAGTTAAATTACAATCAAAATTTAACTTTTTACTTAACTCATAGTTAATAAAAAAATTCAAGACATTAATCAAGAAAATATGTAGATCAGCTGCTTCATTCTTCATGTGCTTATGGCCAAGAGAAAACTACTGAAGAGGGTAACAGAACATAGTATCCAGTAGTTGTTTTCTGTAAGCCAATTTAATCATCTTGATTTAAAAAGAATGAAGCAGTGCAATGACAACATTCTGTTCCATAAGATCATGAGCATATTTAGCCTAACAAACAAATGTATGATACAAACACCAATATTTGTTCATACTAACAATTTTTACTTCAAAATTTTTTCATTAACTCTAAATGTAAAATTTCTTTAAGACAAAAGTAATATAAAGATACATTTTATTGTTCTAACATTATTTTGTTTTGAGGCGGGGAAAAAAACAAACTTGACAATGTGGAAATTATCTTCAAAAGTGCACTGATCTATAAAGTACAATTTTTTAGGACAACATAAATTATACATTCTTGTATTCTTGAATGGAATTACAGTTGAAATCTATTATTTAAATGCATACACATTTTAATATGAAAAATAAAATATATAAATATAGAATCTTTTCAATTCTTTGAGGTTTGATGTACAAGAGTTTCATAAATGAGGAAGATACTGTAGGGAATATATAATTTGAGTTCACGTGCGACATCATTCACCGAGCTCTCGTAATAGAACAATTATTACTTTAAATACTTTGGTGGTGACCCCTAAAAGTGGCTTTGTGACCCTATAAAGTTACTTTTTACAATGTACATTGAATTGGTGCATCAAAATGAAATTTGCGGAAAACCACCTTATATTACTGACTTCCATGGGATATCACCAGTTATCTACCTTTCACTCCTTGAAAAAACAAAAGTTTATTGCACTGCACATTAAGGCTTCGGAAGATCCAAGTTATAGTACGGTTGAAATGTGTAAAAATAAATTTCTTCTTCTATCAAAAGTTTCTCTTTCGCTATCATTTGCCTAACAGTTTGATGTGATTGCTCAGAATGACGTCCATAATTTTCTGCTCGAATTTGGCAGCCATTAGACTGGCCATTGGGTCAGCATCGTCAGATCTCAGCAGTGTTGGGGCAAAGACTATAGCTAGATTCTCAAAGGACATCATGTTTTTACTCTTGTTCTCCACGACTCTGAAAAGTCACATACAATACAAAGAGATTTATTCATTTTTATCACGAACATCATAATTAGATTCTGCAGGAGCCAAGCAATCCTTATAATTAATAAAAAATCATCTAATGCTCTCTAATTTTTCTTAGATAATAGTCTAATAGTAATATTGATTGTCATATACAGTAAAGTTCCCCTTTCAGACCTTGTGATCTATAAGGCAGATGATGTAAAGGTCATCTGTTTCTGTGACCCACGGTTAACAAGGGTGTCATGTGGCCAGCACAACTGCCTTTACTTTTAGAGGCGCCCTAATGATCCAGAAGTAAAAAAAAAACAAGTCTTCACCAGAATTTGAACCTGAGGCCCCCAGTTTGGAAGCCAAGCGCTTTACCACTCAGCCACTGCACCTCCTATTGCCATATGCCCAAGACTATTAATAGTGTTTCTACTTGTAGTTCTAGATTTAGAATGCCCAATGCTAAGGCCTAATAGAGAGTCTTTAACACAGTAAATGAGGAACTTTGCCAGAATATAGAGCAGGAAGAGTTTTCTAAAACAATAATGCTTCAAATGGGCCACAAAGTTGTATTCAGATGTTAACCAGCTCACTTTCAATGAAACCCTGCAGGCCTGCACCATATGAAGGAAAGAGAAAAAGTTGTATCCACTGAAACCTATTTAATAGCTATTAAAACTGGATCATCTAAATGAAAGACTTTTTATATGATACATTTTATCAACTTCAAATTAACAAATTTAGTCTCTATAATAAATCATCATCAATATCTAAAAATCTGCCCACTTATCTAAAATCAGTGAAAGTGGCTCACCTTCCTAGATGGGCACACATAAACTTTAAAGTATGGAAGTGTGCTGGGGGCAGGGAAGACAGTGGCTCTTTCATTAGTTTCACTTGGTCAGAGACTGTCAGGTCTTCAGTTTCTAAAGTTGTAGAAATGCACAAAATGAGCAATGTATGTACTGGTTATTAGATTACATTATTAGATTTATTCAGAATTATTATTAACTGCTTCTGATAAATTAAAGTTTCAATTTGTTTTTTGTTTTTTGTTTGGCTTTTAATAAAGAAATGTTAAACTTTGGTTAATAACAATGTCAGTAATGCAGAAATTCCTAAAGTTACATTTCATAGATTATGTCAAGCGTACAGCCAAACACCTGTGCAGCTTTCAATGCTAATAAATTATAAAGTTTCAATCAATAAAAGACACTATGAAAATATGTACAGTATCTTTTAAAATATCCATACTGTCAAAAAGAATTAACTAGAACTTGGTTATATCAAAAGTTTTTTTTGACGTTATGCACAAGCTCTAGTAAGATATTCCTTCAATTACAATAAACATTTAAGCCTAAAGAAGTGGTCCCCCAATAAAATTTATAAAATTAGGGTTAAATAGAGTCAAGAGCAATGCTATAGCCCCATCAAGGACTTCCTACAATAATCATCTATTACTCAAATAAAAACTCGAGTAGGTATGAGTTTTTATAGATTAGAACATTTCTAAGAGGAAAAAGTGTACCTACTGATAATTTCCATCAGTTTTTTGTACACATCACATGTAATCAAAGGTATAGGCAGCAGTCTGAAATAAAGTTTCAGGGCACTACAGATGGTGTTGATATCTTCATACTTGCTGGAACTAATGTCTGTGTTCTCTGCATTTACAAAGACAAATAAAGAGAAGCATTGGTTTGAAATAATTTTTTTTTTTTTTTAAGTAAATCATTTGTGGCTGGAACAGAGTAGTTTTATGTACTAGATGCTTCGATTAGAGTAAAGGTTGGTAAAAATTGAAAGACAATTCTGTTTTATGCTGGCTAATGGTAACATACTATTTATAGTCATTTTTAGATCATTATGATACCTTTGTCAAAAGCCATTCGTACTGCTTCAACATCGTCATGGAAACCAGCCAGACGATATAACCCTTCCATATCCATGCCTGGGGAATGACAAGAAAAAGTTAAACCTGGTTTGAAATAATATAATATAACATAATATAATATAATATAGAAACATTTGTACATTCCTGCAAGACATTGATGTGAAGTAGCTGAGAACTCAACTTTTAACTCAAGCCAAACAGTTATTGAGATATATTGATTCAAATTGAAATAATATTACAATGTCAAGACATTGATTCTCTATTAAAATAAACAACAAGTGGGGTGAGTGTTTTTAGCATGGTGCAGCGATTTAGAAGCAGATGCCAAGCAAATGGGCAAGACGTGGGGACAGTTTGGAGAGACTCGCCTGGAACCAAGACGCCTGTAGGAAGCTGGTTGGTGGCCTATGCCCTGGAAGGTACCACAGGCAGAGATGATGAATGACAGCTTAAGATTTAAAATTCTCTTTCAAACTTTACAAATTACAGATTTTGAACTAGTAAGTTATTGTCAGATAATTAATTTGTTACAAATTAACTAACAAGGCAGACCTGACAGTGATCTACAGTGGATTATACAAATCCAC